GGCTTTCCGACGCTGGAGGACCTGGGCCCAGGCGCCCTCGCCTCCCTCGGCCGGCGGCTCTCGCGCGCGCGGGGTGGACGGCGGCGTGTACTGCGGCGGCGTCTGGATGCGGTGTTTCTCTGTATTTTGGTGCGGGAGTGGTGCAGGCACCAACCTTGCGGGCGATCCGGGTTTATGGGAGGCAGACGAGAAAGCAGGACGCGGGGTACAGAAGAGAAAGGAGGAAGCGAAGCACGAAAGAGGGGGGACGGAGGCTGAGCCCCAAGGCTGTTGGGCGGGCAGGGGGACGAGGTCTAGTGCCGAGGAGAGCGCGCCGGGCCACTGGCAGCGGTCGGGGAAACTGGGCGCCGAGGGGGGAAGCCAGATGCCGAGGGAGCGGACTCTGCCGGACACAGGCGGGCGCGGTCCCCCGAGTCACCGCCCGAGGACTGGGCCGGCCCACCCCTACCTCCTCGGCCGGCTCCCGCGAACGGCCGCCTCAGTCCTCCAGTGCCTTCCCGAGGCCCCCCGCCCCCGCTCCCCAAGCTAGACGGGCCCGCGGCCGTCTCTATGGCTCCTCCTCGTTCCTCGAGGTGACGTCACTCTGAGTGACGACATCGCTCACCAATGGGCTCTCAGAGTCCGCGGAGCGAGGGTGTCCTTCGCCGCGGCATCCCTGGAGGCTGCGAAGCCTAGTTCCCACCGGCAACATGACTTACTTCCCTGCTGGGTTTAGTTTAAGGAGACTCCGTGTCCAGGGGTGCGAGGAAGGCAAGACCGACGTTTTCCTACCTGTCCACAGTCTCTAGGCCGTGGACCAGCCCTCCCCGAAACCCTTCGCTGAAAGCTGGGTGAAAGGAGCGCTTGCTCTCCGGAGAGCGCAATATGCCTGATAGTCGCCCGGAGAGCGCAATATGCCTGATAGTCGCCATGGTAACCATCTTGGAATCATGAATTACATCACTTTCATGTTTTTCCTTCCTTTCCCCCACCCCCTCCAACTGCGCAATTGCGGGGGAGGAAGCAGTGGAAAGAGGGAGTGGCAGAAAGGGCGGGAATGGTAAAGAAAACATCCCTCTGGACCAAGACTGGAATGCTGTGTACTCTCAATATGCAGTATAAATGTTCTCTTAGCCGGCATTGCTTCTGATCAGTATTTTCTGTAAAAATTCTCATAATATTTAAAATATATATTATAGTAGCTGTGAAGGTTTGGAGGGGGGAGGACTTCAGTTTCTAGGATGAGCAACTGAGCCATCTTGGGAAAGTGAAAGATCTAGAAGTGTTCTCGCTCCCTGGTTATCTCTACCCACCCATTTTACCTGGCTCTCCTTTGACTAACACCAGACAGCAAGGAATACCTTTCTCACGGAGAACACTTCTCTTAACATGTTGGCGGACATGTGCCATCTGGGCTGCACATTTGAAAGAATGAAAGATGACGTATATTACATTTCAGGGTTTTTTTTTTGTCTGTTTTGTTTTTAAATGCAGACTGCTTTTAATTCACAAAGCATTTTTCAGCTAGTAACTAAATGAATTAACTGTTAACTAGGCAAAACTTTTCAGTTTGGCCACTAGAGGGCACTTAGTGCATGTCTGATGCCCAACTTTCCACATAATGGTTTCACTTCATGTTCTATGTTTACTAGAATTAACAGATTCTACAAAGCTTTGGTCTTTTTTACCTTTGCTTTCTTTGCCTGAAAATTTCCGATAGTAAATTATGAGCTCTAAAAGGCTAGGGTGCAATTGTCACATTAATTTTATAAATTAATCACTGCACAACCATGTACCCATACTTTTCTGGAAAAGATCATAAAGGATACAAAAATATTCCTCTTAGTGGTTCCCGGGAGACATTTTATATCGGGAAATATTCTTATTCATGCATTGTATTCACTTATAACCAGGCACAGTGAAAATCATTAAGTATTCATAAACCAGATGCACGAATCACTATTTGAAAGATGAGCTAGATTTTCTCCCATGGCCATATGTTGGCAATCCTATTCTGCAAAGGGAAGGGGTAAGAATCTTTCTTATTGAAATTCATTTGTTCAAAGCAATGTCTGCCTTCTCCTGTTATTAGGACTGGTGACTTTTTTACTTTCAGGGTAAGTGATTTATAACATAAGGAGTTTTTAGTTATAATCTTCAAACAGGAAACAAAATGTTTTTCTCCCTAACTCTGGCCCTGATTGTTGGATTGCTGTCTTCATGAACTGTTTGCTCATTTTCTTTGGAGAAGAGAAAGCATGTTCTGGCCTTCAGATGTTAGATGTTAAAAATATAATTTTTAATGGGCATGTCCCTAAATGTGGCTTCAGATAAAATATTATTAGAAATAGAATGTATTTTCTAGTGTTTTGCAGAAACAGACTATGCATCTACCTCACATAACTTTAATTTTAAACTTTTGTCAGCAAAGTTTTAGAAGAAAATAAAAATAAAATCCCTAGGGACAACCAAATTCTTCTCAAGGGGAAAATCCAGGTGTCCGGTCAAGGCAACAGTTTATCAACAAAACAGGTTGGAAAAGAAGGGTGGAGGTGGAAAGGATCATAGGAATAAAAAACCAATTTAACCTTTCTTCCCAGGAGATATAGAATCAACTAAAATAAGCTCAGGTGGCCCCCTTCGGAGGTCTGAGCTCCAAAAAGACATCTAGGCATTTAAAACAAACAAAAATGTGATTTTATTGATTCCCTTAGTTTTTGTTGCTACACTAAGCATAGATACTACACAAGCATAGTTTTAGAAATAGTGATTAATAGCAATGGGAATGCTTAATTTGAATATCACCCTTAGTATTATTAACAGGGTTATGTTTTTAAAAACTAATACATAATTAGTAGTCATTAAAATAGTTGATCTGTGGGAATGTCTTAATTCCTTATGTAAGTGTTAAAGATATCAGGAATTTCTTGTAAGTGTATCAAATAGATCCAGCACTGTAACGGCTATAGAGAGGATAGCATCTGGTAGCGATACGGCTTTATTAATCTCAGAACAGAGTTTTGGTTTCCTCATCTGATTGCTGCCTGTGGTTCATTCTCCGTGCTGCAATGTTCTAGTCATTATCACACAGTCCCAGGAAACATCACCAACTCTGCACACTCCAGCAAGAACAGTTTACTGCGGCACACCTCCCAGGACCCTCCATTGTTTAGAAGAAATTTCCTAGGATGGGGGGCGGTGGTGTTGGGGTTGCAGAGGATTTTGACTCTCTTCTTCCTCTCCTTCTTGCGTGCACTCTGTCTAGTGCACAGGCCCTCCCATCCCTGAAAAGAAAGACCTGGCAGCAAGCAGAAGGCCCGGGCACGCGACGGGCACAGAGCCCCCCCGGGCCCCTCGGGGTCTGGGGTCCCCCTCGTTACCCACAAGCCTCCGGGCCCGCCGTGCCAGCAGGAAGCAGGCGCGCGGGGCTCGGCGCCCGCGAGGGAGGTGGGCGCCCCCGCACAGAGGCCGAGGGGCCCCAGGGCCTCCCGACGGCTCGCCGTGGGGGAGCCTCCGGCTGAAACGCGCGCGGCTGACAGAGGCTTGCCCCCACGAGGACCCAGGAGGAAGTCGCTGCCATGGTGCCCACACGCCGCCCCAGGTGGCACGGGCAGCTCCTCTCTGACAGCTGTCGGACCGCAGGCGGCCGAGGAGCCACACACGTCGCTGTCCCCTTTCTCGGGCCGTCGGGACGGGGCACCCGCCAGTAGGGTTCCTCGCAGGTTTGGGGGAGCTGCGGCAGAGCCCCGTCGCGGGTCTCTCCCCCGGTGTCTCCAGTGCGC